GATCAATATGGCTTCTTTTCAAACTTTTTGATGCAAAATAATCATCTATCTTTGTATACCATGCCCTAAGAGATTCTTTGAGCCCATAGAAAGTTTTAGAGAGTTTACACATCAATTGTTCTTCATCTTTAAATATATAGCTTTCTAGTTGGTCCATATATATCTCCCCTTTAAGATCTCCATTCAAGAATGTTGTCCTGACATTCATTTGATGGACTTTCAAATCTTCAATTGCAGTTAGTGCAAAAAGTATACAAATTGAGATCATTTTTGCTATTGGAGTAAAAGTCTCATTGTAATCAATACCTTCTTTTTGTATATAATCCTTTGTAATGATTCTTGTCTTGTAGCGCTCCATTGAATCATTTGTATTACATTTGATCTTAAAAATCCATTTGCAACCCATTGATTTTCAATTTGCTGGTAATGGTGTTAAAGTCCAAATCTTGTTGTCAATGAGACTTTAGTACTCTAAATCCATTGCTTCTTTCTACTTCCAAGTTTCATCCTTTTTTATAGCTTTACTGATATTAATTAGTTCTTATGTGCTTGTGTGAAAAGCATATGCCATACACACTAAAGATATGAATGACTTGGAAGGAATCTAAGCCAATGTTGATTCATCAATTATTTGTTGTTGTGCCAAAAGTCAAGTGAAGGTGGAGGTAGAGGTGAGATTGAAGGTGGATTTAAAGCTACACATTGTTATCTAAGTGCTCAAGCTTGTGTTCAAATATCTCAAATAAAAGATGAAGATTTAATAGTTGGTTGTTAGTAATCTTTATCAGTGTCCAAATCTCCCATTGTATCCTTAGTGTCACTTTCTAAATCTGATGAAGATTCCATAGGCTCAATTTTAATCCTTGTTTCTTGAAATTTATTAATAGAAACCTCCAAAGTTGATTTTTTTTGCTTAGAGTCTTCATACTTAACAAACTTAATATTATGACTGTTAATTATGGAGCCATTTTAAATATCATACAAATGATAGTACTTAGTACCCTCAAAATAGCCAAGAAATATACATTTCGTACTTTTGGGATCAAGTTTTGTATATTTTTCATCTAAAACATGCACATAGGAATTACATCTAAAGCTACAAAGATGTTATATTGAAGGTTTTATACCTGATCAAACTTCTTTCAATGTTTTTCCTTTGACAACTATAGTAAAAGATCGATTAATAATGTATGTTGTAGTATGAATGGCTTTTGCCTACCATGCATTCAAAATTTATTTATGCTATAACATGCACCTTACATTCTCAAATAATGTCCAATTCTTATGTTCTACAATTCCATTTTGTTGAGGCATATAAGGCATTAAAAATTATCTTTTAATACCATGTTGATCACAAAACTATTTGAAGGCCTTAGATGTATACTCTCTACCATTATCACTATGCAATTTTTGAATCTCCAAGCCCGTTTGTTTCTCAACTAAAGCCTTAAAAATTCTAAAGTTATCCAAGACTTCAGACTTTTGTTTCATGAAACAAAAAAAATTCTTGAAAAATGATCGATAAAAATAACAAATTATTTTCTTTCTCTATGTGATGTTCTCTTCATAAGACTATTTACATCGGAATGTATTAATTTTAAGAATTTAGCTACACAAGTACCACCTTTTGTTGGAACAACATCACAATGTTGTCTTCCATAAATACATCTCTCACAAAACTCTAATTTTGTGTTCTTACCTATGTTTAGAAGAATGACCATATCACCTATTTGTAGTTTTTTCAAGCTCAAAATGCCAAAATATCTATATCATTGATGCCAAAGATCAACCTTGTTCAAAGTTTGTTTTGTCTCAATAATAAGAGATGTCTTTTTTCCTTCATCTAAAGGTTCCAATAGCTTGTACAAGCTACCATGTCTAACACCTTTGATGGTTGTATTGTCTCATTTCATAAGACATGTATCAACATTAAAATTGACTTTGTAACCATGATTTGTTATTTTGACTTAAACTTGAGATAAAATTATGAATTTTTATTAGATTTATATATATATATATATATATATATATATATATATATATATCTTAGAATCTATAATTTTAACAAGAAAGAAATTTCTAATTTAGTAAAAAATAATATATTGCCTATATAGTTTGATAGTTCAATTTTGGAAGGCTTCTTCTTATTACTCATAAGCTAGAATGTAACAAAACATCCATACAATACATGTTAAGTTGCTTTTGTTGTGTTGATATTTTTTTAATAAATTAATAATAATTTTATTTATAAATTATCTACTTATTTAATTATTTTATAAGCTTTATAATTATCTTTAAGTATTTTTTTTAATTTTCAAAAGCAATATAAATATATATATATATATATATATATATATCCTATACTATCACTAAATATTAAGTCTTTATTTTAAAGTTTTATTACTAAGTACATTATGTTTGATCATCTTTATATAGATGATTTTATCATATTTGAAGAGTATTATTTCTATTTTAATATTATCAAATATTATCAAAAATATTTACTAAAAATAAATAATAGTAATAATAATATATTATATATATATATACCTTTATTTATTATAGTATAGTAATCTATAATTTTTAAATTTTCAAATTTTATTCTATTTTTAAAAAATCAATATAATTTTATAATTTAGAAGATTATAAAAAATTAGGATTAAAACTAAATAACACAACTAAAAAAAAATAGTAATAACTATCGTGGGGTTAGCAAAGCTCTCTTTTTCTATATATAATTTTTTTTTAAGTATTAAAGTTTCACATTTTAATAATATTGATTTAACACCTAATTAGCTAGAATGTAGAAGAATCTAAATTGACTACAAGAAGTTGTATTGTTTAATATTGTTAATATAGTACTAATAGTTGTACTGTTTATTATATTTAATAATTCTTTTAATTCTCAGCTTCCATTCTAAGTTCAAATTTTATTTGTATTATTTATATAACTATACATATAGGATAGTTTAAAAAAATTGAAATAAAATCTTCAGTTGTTATTTTATTAAAGATGTGATTTCATGTTAAAACTATTCTATAATGAGATATTAAGAATATTGTATAAAATCATTAATAAATATTTATTTATTTATTTATTTATTCATTAAATTGATTTGCAGATTATTTAAGAAAGTAGTCACTACTCCATATTTTGACGTTTGATTTTTCTTTTGTTGTTCTAATATACATTTTTGTTGACGTAATTTTTTAGCTATATGGTACTTTTTGAGAGACATTATTTTTGAATTCAAAAGTATTTTTGAAAATTGTTAATATAACAATAATATATATATATATATATATATATATATATATTTATTGATAACATTTTCATGTTTTATTGTAAATTTCAGTATTATATTCAATCTAAAAATAGATGTGTTTTTAATTATTTCATATCTAGTTTTATTTTACACGTTTATTCTCCAAAATATGTTAAGCAAGCTCATTTAAAAAAACAAAAGGCAAATCTTGGAAACCTCATATTTGAGTGTATTTTTTGGAAATTTAAAAACTAAAAAAAAGAATATATTTAAAATATTTCATATATTTCAAAATAAACAACTTATATTTCTTAAATATAATTTTTTTTAATAAAATATTATCCGAATCAACTAAGATTATGATATTAAACAGATGTATCACAAAATGAATGGATTTTAAAATAAATTTGGTTTCAAAAAACTAAAATATAGGTATATTTATCTTTAAGATCTCAACTTTAATCATTATGCTTTTGTGCCATTGTAAAAATTAATATTTTTTTTTCCTTTATTATGACTTCTTATCCTCCAACCCTTGAATTCTAAAGACTATTTCCTTTTAAAAACATTGAATTAGAAATAAGAAATTTCCAAAACTATTTTATTTGTTTAAAAAACTCATATCAATTTTTTTCTAAAAAAATATAATATTTTTTAAAATTAAAATAATAACTGAATATTAAAAAACACCCACAACTTGTAAAAAAGCAACTATCTAAATCGCGAAATCATTTTCTTGGCAAGAGACAAAAATTGAAGACACCGTGGGATCAGGGCCACAGAGGTATCCCGGTGACTGGAGCCCGCGATGTATAATGGCGACAGAAATGGATGAATGAAGAGAAGCACAAGAAAAGGATGAGAAGACGTGGATGAATGAAGAACGTTCGTCTGTTGGGCGCCAAGGGTGAGTACCAGCACACATGGCCGGCGGGGGGGGGGGGGGGGAGGCTCCAACGTAGCGGTGGTCGTGGTAACTAACTTCTGCAGAGGAGGAGGAGAACCATTGGCTATGGCGTCGTCAGAGGGCCATGGCCTGTGGCCTGGATGCGCTCGTCCTGCGCCATTGTGATTGCCGGAGCAGTTATGATCCCACCGAGGATTGCACACCACTGGTTCCAGCTCCACCTCAAGACGTCTTCGCTTCATTCACTTCTACACTCTACCACTTGCTCTGCGCCTTAGAGCTCGCCAGTTTGTTCTTTTCGAAGGATCGGGTTCCGTGCCGTGTTGTAGGCTTGTGAATGGCGTTGCCGGAGTAGGCCCCGCGGAGAAAATCACTGTGGAGGAAGAAGGCGAGTCGTCTTCCTTTTTTTTAAAGTTGTTGGAGAGAGGAGTCGTTCTTTTTTCTTTTGGCGATTTTGCGTTGTGGAAGCTTTGTTGATGCGCTTGTAGTATACCTCCGTTGGAGTGTGAGCGTGGTGAAGGTCCTAGCTATGTGTTCATGTTTTCAATGCACTTGAGATCCATTTCCAGCTGCAGGATTCGTTGGACGTTTTTGTTTGTTGTGGTTGTTCTTGCATTAGGAGAATCTTTCTGTGCACGGGGTTTTTGGAAGTAAAAGGCCTGGGTGATATCGTGATCTGCAAGTTCAGTTTAGTTCACCGGGGTAGTGTGTGCTGAGATTTACTGCGAGTTGTTTTTTTTGTCTTCATTTTTGTAAAGCGAAGAGAACGTCGATTGTATAATTGTTATTTATTTATTTATTTATTTATTCTTTTTGTGGAATAAAAGGTAACAGACAATGAGTGGCTGCGAGGTTGATCCAGATAGAAATCCTGAAGTGTTTGACTTGAAGATTTACTAAGGCGGAGGCAGGATGTTTCTCAGTTCGAATTGCGAGGAATTGTGAACCATCAGTGTGATAAATTGTCGGAAATATCACTATGCGACGTTCTATGAGTGTCACCCACGGAAAATTTGAGCTGATGCAGCGGTAAACGGAGTCCAGCTGAGCGTCACCCTTGATGGATACAAATCCAGACTGTTTTTCCATGATACCAATGTAGAATATCATGTGACTACGGATATTGATACGGACAGTGGATCCAATTCTCAGCATTTCAGAACATGATGCATACCAAGACGTCAGCCATAAACCGCTAGTTGAAAGCGGGATCAACTCAGACGTTACCAACAAACACACATTTCAGTCTCCACTAACACTACAGTAGTTGAGCAGCGGTGAGTGTCGAGAGAAAACTGAGGAGGAGAGAAGGTGATGAATGTGGGGATGGCTTCTCTTCATAATCATGTAAACTGCGAGCGTCGTAAAAGCCTTACGAAATCAGAATTTCTGGCATCATGGCCAATTGTTCTTTGGATAGCGACTATGATGGCTACGAGTGTCGTGTGTGCCTTGCCAGAATTAATTTCACCAGGTGATCCTGACATTGTGTTGGTGTGGAACGTCTCGTACATCACTAAATCACCCTTGGGAAAACCTCAACAGGTTGGTTTTCGTCCACGCATCAGCTGTGATTTCCAACTTTGGTGGTCAGAAAATTGAAACTAGCTAATTTGTAAACAGATCATCCTTACAGCATACGCTACATGACAACGATTGAATAATTTTTAGAATGACAACATGTAGGCAGCCGTTTTCAGTTTAATCAGAATTTTATTAAGCAGTACTGCTGTTCCGTTACAAATGAACCAGCCTCTCCATTGATGCTCTTAATATGTGGTGACAAGCAGCAAATGCATCTCAAGCCTTTAATAAGGGATGAGTACTGAGGCGAAATGAAAAGAATTAGAAAACGTACTGACCAAAAACTTAGGCTGCACTCAATGAATGTTACCATGAATTTTGGATGCAGGTGATAGTAATCAACGGGGAACTGCCCGGGCCAACCATAGTTGCTAAGACCAACGACGTGGTGGAGGTGAACGTGTTCAACCGATTGGATGAGCCTATATTGTTCACCTGGTTTGCGCCTAGCCCAACATGGTCGCTTGCCTTCACAGAAAAAATAAAATAAAATGAAAATCTGAAATTTTGAAGTCTGAACCTGATGCAGATCCAATAACAGAATGCGTAGAAAAGATGATATTAAAGTATGTACATTAAAGGAAAATGCACACATTATTGGAATTTGAAGGGACGGCATACAACATCGACACAATTCATGGCAAGACGGGGTGTCGGGAACAAATTGTGAGATTCCTTCACATTGGAACTGGACCTACAAGTTTCAGGTGAAGGATCAAATTGGCAGTTTCTTCTACTTCCCAAGCACTCGATTCCAGCGAGCTGCTGGTGGCTATGGTGGAATCCGCATAGATTCCCCCAGAGTGCCTTCACCGTTTGTCGAACCCCTAGTGGACGTCTTCGTGCTTATTGGTGATTGGTACACCCGTAGCCACAAGGTTTCAGCTTCAAAACACAATCTGTTCACTTTCTTGTAGCGCTTAATTTGTATACTTAACAGATCAGAAGAATAGTGCTCTAAACGTTTCACATGCAAGTCTTCAGACTAGACACAGATGTTATGCTCATGTATAACCCTCACAGACCTGGCCACCGTTGAAGTTCGCTTGTTTAACGATCGACAGGACTTACGACAAACATTGGAGGATGGAGACCTGATAGGCCGGCCCGATGGAGTTCTAATTAATGGCTTTGGACCTTACAGTAGGGTAGACTCAACTAGATGCTGGGTTCTGCCTGTAGAACGTGGTACGTTCACTTAATTCGTATTTAAACCATCTCTTACACTTAATCCGACGTTTTGTATCCGAACTTCGCTCGTCCCAATCTAAAAAACTGATTTGGTAAAATACAGTGAGGGACAGATGATCCAAGTGGTGACAGATAGTTTTAGGAACGAATGATTCTGTTGCAGCTTAGCTTTGTAGGATGCTGTGACACGCAGGGCAAACCTACCGTCTCCGCATCTCAAATGTGGGAGTAAAAACGACTCTAAACTTTCGGATACAGGGTCATGAAATGACATTAGTTGAGACGGAGGGTTCCTACACACAACAGAAGTCGCTCAACAATCTGGATGTGCATGTTGGTCAGTCCTACTCCGTCATTGTAACAGCAGATCAAGCGAGCAGAGACTATTACATTATGGCAAGTCCTCGGTTCGAAAATGCAACAACCTTTTATGATGCTGCTGGAGTGGCTCTGATGCATTACAGCGATTCCAATGTGATTGCGTCTGGTCCACATCCTCTTGGACCTGATCCTGATGATATATCGTTCTCACTCGAACAAGCACGATCCATCACGTAAGTACATCAACAGTGAGAGGTCCGATATTTTGAAACAGGATCATGAGTTTTGGTTTCGTGGTCACTGCCGATCATTTTGCATGCTCTGCACACAGCGTTGATATGTCATGTCTACCCCCCGATAAACATAATTCCACTTCGTCACGGAATATGCGCTGTATTTGTAAGGACCTATAATATGTTTTTCGATTTCTAATTTCTTTCGTGGTTGAAAAATATTACGATATCACAGAATTGCAACTGAGAATATCAAGTTCAAGAAGGCTGATTCACTCTGTCTCTTGAACACCAACGAATTTGTAACGCCTAGACTTGTCTGTGTTGGCAGATGGAATTTGACTGCTGGAGCAGCCCGACCTAATCCGCAGGGGTCATTCCATTATGGAAGCATCGACCCCTCTCAAACTTTTATCTTCAAAAACTCTGGTCCAGCCATTGATGGGCATCACAGATTTGCAATAAATAATATTTCTTTTGTTCCAACCACCACACCCTTGAAACTGGCTGATTTCTACAACATTAGCTCGGGTGTATACACTTTAGATGCTTGGCCGTCAATCTACTCTCAACAAGAGATAATGCCTATATTTGAGCCCACATTGGCAACTGCAGTTGTGAGTGGTCAGTACAAGGCATTCGTGGAGATGGTGTTTGAAAATAATGAGGCAACGTTGCAGAGCTGGCATCTGGATGGATATGCTTTCTGGGTAGTTGGGTAAGTCTATACATTTTTGTTAAAACTAAGTGAATGTCACAGGCCGGTTCCCCACATCTCCTAATTCATATTTTATGTTAGGGGACGTATAACTTTTCATTGAACTTGAAAGGGGTGTGTAAAAAGATGTCCCATCTCTGTATATGTCAAATTAATTTGATTACTTTTGATTCTAACCAGGGGAACATTGAAATGGCAGCATGGATCACGGTCGATGGAGTCCGACAAGCCGGAGCCAGTACAACAATGTGGATGCAGTTGCTCGTTGCACAACACAGGTTTCTAAACTCCTCACACATACTCAGTCTTATGGTTCTATCGTCATGCAAGCATGAAGGAGTGAGGAGCTGAAATGGTACAAAAGGACTGTTTCGAAGAATTCTGAGTAGGGACTCATAAAACTCTGCCAAATCTTAGGATGATGAATTAGCTTATATTTAGCTGCTATTGTGGTTGAACATGTAGAGACGGAATGAGAGATGCACATCCCTAATTTTGACCATAATAACACACGTACTTTGGATTTTGTTTATGAATTTGCAGGTCTTTCCACAGTCATGGACAGCAGTCATGGTGATGCTCGATAATGTGGGAGTCTGGAACTTGCGATCTGAGAATTTGCAACGTCAGTACTTAGGTCAAGAGCTGTATTTGCGCGTAGTGAACCCCGAAGTGTTGCCTATGCACAGCCCCTACTCGGAGACTCCCATTCCAGACAACGCCTTACACTGTGGGTGGCTTTCTTATAAGCAAAAAGCTCAGTAAGCTTCTGCCCTATCATATCATCCTCTCCCTGTTTTCCTCATTGCCATTGCTTTGAATTGATTTAGATAGTATTCAACCTTCATCATAAAGGATGCTTCAGCTCCACGCATGCTGCTTTTTGAAGTCGTGAAACCTATTTACTCCTTGGTTCTCATGTCTTCATTTTTATTTGTTTATTTGATTACTTGTGTGTACGTTTTAAATGAATACGTAGCTCTAGGGACCTACACTCTCGGAATTATCTTAAGTATCACATCAAATTCTACAACTTTTCCATAATCCATAGGATAAATCACATGTTTGTTCATATAGGTACATTCATAATCATCAAAAAATTATAAAAATGAATGAAATTAACAAAAATCGCATTTTTTGCACCCAAAACAATATATATATATATATATATATATTAAAAAAAAAGTGTGTTTGTGTGTGAAACATAGTATTATTAAAATTTGGAAAAAAATAGTATACAAAATAAATTTTGGTTAATCAGATTTAGTATTGTACAATGGCATATGTTAAGTGGTTGAAATTAATACAGTTTTCTCAATCAATTTGAGCTGGCTTTTAACATACTATATTTCAAATTTAAGTTCATATAGTTAATTTTTTTTCTAGATAATCTGAAAAAAGTAAATACACTGATTACAATGGATATTTGACATGTACATATTGTTTGTATTGCAGGATATCCAAAGCATCTGTTATTAATGTTTACAATGCAATATATTTTGTACTAGTTAATGTATTTTTATATTGCTTAATATAGAATTAGTACTTTCTAAGCAATTTAGTTTTTAAAAAAAAATAGAAAAAACTATCAATAAAAATATAAAATAATGTAAAATATGAATTATATTTTATGACACAAAGATAGTTGAATTTAAATTTAAATATAATATTGCATAACCAATATTAAGTATCAATGATAGAAAAACTTAATTTTGCTAAGCATTCATTGCTATATAAGCCAAATGAGCAAAGTTTCTTTACAAATACAAGGCTTGAATCAAATGTCTTGCCAATTTAATATATATATATATATATATATATATATTTGATTCGAGCTACTTTTAAGATTCTTTCAATATGATTTTTAAGATAATTAAAATAAAATTTTTCTATCTAAAGAGATAAATTTTTTCATAATGTGACATTCTTGATTAGAAGCAAAATTAAAATAGTTTAATTATTTTTAATTTGAAGCAACAAAATTAAGTATTTTTTTTTTCAATGTATAAATGTTGGTAAATATTTAAAAGACTATGTTAGATACACAATCATTTCTTTGAGCATATAGGTTTAAATAGTGTTTAAATCTAAAAAGATTTTTACTTATATAAAATATAGAATGCCATTATAATAAAAAGTAATAATAAAATACATTATAGAATCTATTTGGTCCATATTGAATTTATATTTTTACCTTACTTCACCCAAGAAGATTGAATAGAAAGAATCATAGAATAGATCTTTTATACTTTGGAGTCTATATAAATAAAATATAGCCACTTGTATATGTATCTATCAATAAACAATAAATCTTGATTCTATCAAAATAATGTTTTAAAAGTATCATAGAAGACTATAAAGCTCAACTAGTTAGCTCTGCTCG